GAGATGGACCGCAGGTAATATTGATAAAAGTACAAGGTTGTATGTTAGAAAATCATAACAGCCAAAAACTGAATGAGCTAAGGTACAATTTTTTTTAGAACGAAGACGCTGGGCGCATCCGGCTTTAAATTAATAAAGCCCACAACTAGGCAGCGTATCTGACATAGACTCGAAACATACGGACGAGCGCGGAGGCTCACGACCGGCGCCAACACATAGTTCACGGCAGTTTTGGACCGGACCAAACGAAGTTCGCATCTAAATGATTACATGGCACGAAGCCAGAGCTCAGAGCACGCAGGCTCGCGCGAGCACGTCAAAAGGGCCACTATCCAGGCGCGGATGTGGCGAGAGGCTCCCTAGCCAAAACGTAGACTTGACGCAGACGGTCTTGGGCATGCTTCAGCTTCTCAGCATCCTTGCGCCTCGCCAACGGACTCCACTGCTGCAGGAAAATGTTGCATTTATAGATGATGTTAGCCGGGTGCGTTGGGAAGATTCCTTCAATCGCTAGCTTGTTCCTGGTTAGCCAGAGAGACCAAGCCAAGGCTCCGAGACAACTCCACAGCACGCGGTTGTTGCCACCTTTAGTGGCCGCGACGATGGCCACAAGATCAGTGGCAGAACGCGGGTTCCAGGAAGTGTTAGCTGCAGTGCGGACCGCGCTCCAAGCGAAGCAAGCTAACGGACAGCGGAAGAAAACGTGGTTCGCATCCTCCATGACATTACAAACCACACATAGACCGGACGACGGACCGTTGCGTTTAGCCACATTAGCCGAAGTGGGCAGTCTGTTGCGAAACAGCTGCCAAAAGAACACCTTAATTTTAAGCGGGAGGCGAGCAGTCCATAGACCGTTCGGCACTAAACAGGCCTGGCACTCGCACAACTTCCGGTACAAAGACTTGACCGAAAACTTGCCGGAAGGGGTCAGAGACCAGTGCATGGTGGCATCGGACGATGAAAGCGAAACCGGCGCGATGAGGCTAAGCAGCTCCGCAAGGTGAGCTTGTTCGGTGCCCGAAAGCTCGCGCCGGAAGCAGATCGCTGGTGGAGAGGAGGCAAGCGCCGAAGCAACGCTCATCTCTGGGTTGACCGCCTGAACGTAGAGATCCTGGAATTCCGACCAAAGGGATTGGGATCCCACCCAGTGGTCCAACCAAAACCGGGCCGACCGACCATTGCCGATGGAGAACTTGGCTCCCAGGCGAAGGCCGGCCGCACCGCTTGGAGGTCATTCCAGAAGGGGGAACCTCTCGCCACTCCTTCGAAAAAATTCCCAGGGAGGGTGTAAAGTAAAAGGTTTTTGCTGCAAGTATGCTATACTCTAGCTTATGAAAATCTGGCCCGCAGAAACTGGGTGCACTTCCCCGCCAAAAAAACAGACAATGCGTCATGCGTGCATTGATACGTTACCCTCTACTAGGGCATTGGGTTGTTATTTATGTTTGATTAAATTTCTTTGGTTGGTAATTTCATGCATTTTTGTTGAACCAAAGATGAAATCATAATGTGGTTAACAAAAGAAGTAGACCAGCTCCAGTACAGGAACGGCGACAGAGCTGTGTGGTTGTTTGATAGTCCATGAACTTCAATGTAATTTTTATTACGTTTGAAGTGAGTTATATTTCAGTGTATCTTTATAATAAATCTGACCCCTTTTAGGAAAGAAAGTACATAGGTAATCTCTGGTTAAAAAATAGTACATATGCAATTAGAATGAAACCGATATAACAAGGATTAAACCAACTAAGTCCACCGGCTATGCCCAGGGTACTTTTGTTTAAGTATCATCATGCATGCAGCTCCGCCGATTCTAGCTCGCGTTGTTGGTGGCGAAGCAGACCTTTCTGACTTCGCCGGGGTCGGTCCCAGTGAGCACCTTAATGCCTCCCATCTTCACCAAAGCCGCCGCAAACCTGACCATCCACGCGATAGGGTTGGCGGCGTTGTCGGCCATCATGGCCGCTGTCTTGTTGCCGGTCGTCGGCGTCTCATCCAGTAGCGTCTGGTCTGACGTGAACAACATTTGCCCAGAGGCCACGTTTTTGTAGAACTGGTTGCTCAGCTTGTTCGGGTCCGTCACACGGTTGTTGCTCACGGAGATGAACCCCCGCCGTTCCTCGGAGGCGGGCACACCTTCTTTAGCGCCGCCGCAAAGGTGGCGTTCATACTGGAGTCGACAGTGGGGTACAACCGTGGGGTGACGAAGTTGCAGTGCGTGAGGCCGAAGGAGTGCGCGCCGGAGAGGACCACTAGGTCCTCAGCGTTGAGGCCCTTGGCGGTGAAGCTATCAAGAAGTTCTTGGAGCTGAAACGCGGGGATGGGATGCCCTGGAAGACCTCGTCGGCGATTGACTGGAAGCCGTCCAGGCGCCCGGATGGCATGTGGAAGGTGAACCCGCCTGAGGCACAGGTGGAGTCACGTGCCGCAAAGGCCAGGATGTCGGCACAGGAGACAACACCCGGGCAGACGGCCTCCACGGCGTCCTTGATCTTGTTCACGGCATCGTATCCGCGTAGGGGGATTGTTGTTTTCTCAGTCTCTGGCTTGCTGGTCGTCGGGTCCAGCAGAATGGAGGCATCGCAACCCTGTAAAAGGTCATTTAATTTTAAATATACGTTTCCAATTTGTGCATATTTATGTTAGGAAAAGTAGACGGAACAAATATATTGCATAAACATGAAAAATCAAGAAAAGTCTGATTGTACTATTTCCACCTAGACAGTTTTATTCTATTCTTGAATGTTAGTAGTTGTTAGACTAAGTATATATTAGATATACGTGTTGTAACATAACTTGTATTTGTACTCAGCTTCGGTACTACTCCGAGACACCGTAGCTTGCTTGCGAGCTTGCCAGGCGATCAAGTTAGGCCCAAAGAACACACCATGTCCCCCCGTGGATCGTCAATCATCAGGACTACCAGCCCAATCGACATCAGAAAATGCTGAGATCAGTCTAGAACGTGCAGGCTGAAGATGGAGACCATATGAACCAGTGTGACGAACATAGCGCAAGATGCGCTTAACAGCTGACCAGTGAGAATCACGTGGTGCATGAAGATACTGGCACACACGGTTAACTGCAAATGATATGTCTGGTCGAGTAATGAGCAAGTACTACAGACCACCCACAATGTTGCGGTACTCAGTGGCATCCTCAGGAGAGAGCATGTCACCAGCAAGAGCTGTCAGTTTGTCTGCGGCAGACATGGGAGTCGTAGCAGACTTGCACTGCAACATACCTGCACGACGCAGGAGATCCTGAGAGTACTTCTTTTGAGTAAGAGTCAAGCCACTATCAGAATGAAGAACCTCTAGGCCCAGAAAATAATGCAGTCTCCCAAGATCCTTAGCAGCAAACTCAGCACCAAGAGAGGACACAAGCCGATCCGTAGCAGAAGCAGATGAACTGACAAGGATGATGTCATCAACATAGACCAGAATGTACATAGTCACCTTAGGTCACTGAATAATAAACAGAGACGTGTCTGCTGTAGAAGGAGCAAACCCATGTGCACGAAGAGCAGCGCCAAGACGGGCATGCCACACACGCGGGGCCTGCTTCAAACCATAGAGAGCTTTGACAAGGCGACACAAATGATGTGGCTGAGAAGGATCGGCAAAACCTGGCGGCTGACGCATAAAAACCTCTTCTTTCAAAACTCCATGGAGAAAGGCATTATGAACGTCAAGCTGTCGAAGCGACCATCCGCGAGTAACGGCCAAAGAGAGAAGAACACGAGTAGTAGTTGGTTTAATAACAGGACTGAATGTGTCTTCGTAATCAATGCCGTACCGTTGTTTAAATCCCTTGGCAACCAGGCGTGCCTTGTACCTCTCAATGGAGGCATCAGCATGCTTCTTCATCTTGAATACCCATTTAGAGTCAATGATATTGACATCAGATGGAGGTGGAACAAGATGCCAAGTGTTGTTTCTCTGAAGAGCATGAATCTCCTGCTCCATCGCAACACGCCAATGTGGGATGCCAAGCGCTGCTCGAAAATGTCGTGGTTCAGTCGTAGGACCAGCCTCAGCATGCGCCACACAGGCCGCAAGCCATGCGACAGTGCCGTCAGTGCGCTTCTTTGGTTGGAAGATGCCACTTTTGCTGGGAGTATGGGGACGCATGACGATAGGCGGAGATGGCGCTGGAGCTGCCACACCAGAGGAGCCACTGCCCATCAGTGGCGAGGAGGACGCGCCGGCGAGCGAGTCAACAAGCGCATCCGGTGGCACGGTCAGGGTCGGCGAAGACAGACCGGGCGTGACCGGCGTTGACGGACCAGGCGACGATGACTCGATGACCTGCGAGACCCCCGACCCAGGGGATAGACCCGCAGGTCCAGCCGGCCCGGCCGACAGCTCCGCAGGTTCGACCGGCCCAGGCGACAGTGAGGCCGCTGGCCCAGGCGACTCGGGCACCCCATTGGATCCACGTGCATGGGACATGCACGCGTGATCGACGTCGGGGTCAGGCGGGGTAGTGGCGGGGTAGCCTCGTCGAGCGCCTCATCCGGCGTAGCAGCAGCTGGCGCAGGTGTGGTTGTTGTTGGAAATATGCCCTAGAGGCAATAATAAAATGGTTATTATTATATTTCTTTGTTCATGGTAATAGTCTATTATTCATGCTATAATTGTGTTATCCGGAAATCGTAATACACGTGTGAATACATAGACCACAACGTGTCCCTAGTGAGCCTCTAGTTGACTAGCTCGTTGATCAACAGATAGTCATGGTTTCCTGACTATGGGCATTGGATGTCATTGATAACGGGATCACATCATTAGGAGAACGATGTGATGGACAAGACCCAATCCTAAGCATAGCTCAAAGATCGTGTAGTTTGTTTAGCTAGAGCTTTTCCAAATGTCAAGTATCATTTCCTTAGACCATGAGATTGTGCAACTCCCGGATACCGTAGGAGTGCTTTGGGTGTGCCAAACGTCATAACGTAACTGGGTGACTATAAAGGTGCACTACGGGTATCTCCGAAAGTGTCTGTTGGGTTGGCACGAATCGAGACTGGGATTTGTCACTCTGTATGACGGAGAGGTATCTCTGGGCCCACTTGGTAATGCATCATCATAATGAGCTCAATGTGACCAAGTGTCTGGTCACGGGATCATGCATTACGGTACGAGTAAAGTGACTTGCCGGTAACGAGATTAAACGAGGTATTGGGATACCGACGATCGAGTCTCGGGCAAGTAACGTACCGATTGATAAAGGGAATTGTTACGGGGTTGCTTAAATCCTCGACATCGTGGTTCATCTGATGAGATCATCGAGGAGCATGTGGGAGCCAACATGAGTATCCAGATCCCGCTATTGGTTATTGACCGGAGAGGCGTCTCGGTCATGTCTGCATGTCTCCCGAACCCGTAGGGTCTACACACTTAAGGTTCGGTGACGCTAGGGTTGTAGAGATATGAGTATGCAGTAAACCGAAAGTTGTTAGGAGTCCCGTATGAGATCCCGGACGTCACGAGGAGTTCCTGAATGGTCTGGAGGTAAAGAATTATATATAGGAAGTCAGGTTTCGGCCATCGGGAAAGTTTCGGGGGTCACCGGTATTGTACCGGGACCACCGGAAGGGTCCTGGGGGTCCACCGGGTGGGGCCACCTATCTCGGAGGGCCCCATGAGCTGAAGTGGGAGGGGAACCAGCCCCTGGTGGGCTGGTGCGCCCCCCCTTGGGCCCTCCTGCGCCTAGGGTTGGAAACCCAAAGGTGGGGGGCGCCTCCACTTGCCTTGGGGGCAAGGCACTCCCTTGGCCGCCCCCCCAGGAGATCCCATCTCCTAGGGCCGGCGCCCCCCCAAGGGGACCTATATAAAGAGGGGGGAGGGAAGGAGGGCAGCCGCACCTTTGCACTTGGCACCTCCCTTTCCCCTTTGCTACACCTCTCCCTCCCGCAGACGCTTGGCGAAGCCCTGCCGGGATCCCTGCTGCATCCACCACCACGTCGTCGTGCTGCTGGATCTTCATCAACCTCTCCTTCCCCCTTGCTGGATCAAGAAGAAGGAGACGTCTCGCTGACCGTACGTGTGTTGAACGCGGAGGTGCCGTCCGTTCGGCGCTAGGATCTCCGGTGATTTGGATCATGACGAGTACGACTCCCTCAACCCCGTTCTTTTGAACGCTTCCGCTCGATCTACAAGGGTATGTAGATGCACTCCTCTCTCTCATTGCTAGATAAACTCATAGATTGATCTTGGTGAAACCGGTAGGAATTTTTTTGTTTTCTGCAACGTTCGCCAACAGCTGTATCATCATCCAGAAGCTCAAATCGAGCGCCTCGTCCAGTCCCTGCACCATGGTTAGGCAACAACAGAGGAGAATATGCAGCATCCACAAATTGATCAGGCAAAACTGGAAAAGAGTGCAACTCGGTGACGGGAGTATCTATGGGTGATGTGAGCGTGGAAAACGGGAAGACAGTCTCATCGAACACAACATCACGAGAAATATAAACACGATTTGTCGGAATGTGAAGACACTTGTAACCTTTATGGTGAGGACTGTACCCAAGAAACACACATTGTTTGGATCAATACTCAACTTTATGCTTATTGTACGGACGAAGATGCGGCCAACACGCACAGCCGAACACTTTGAGGAGGGAGTAATCTGGAGTTTCATTAAGCAACACTTCTAGCGGAGACTTCATGTGAAGACGTCGTGTGGGAATCTTGTTTATCAAAGCAGTAACAAAAGCATTGCTACAGAACCGAAACGGGACAGAGGCATGTGCAAGAAGTGTCAGGATAGTTTCAAGTATGTGACGGTGCTTGCGTTCAGCTGCACCATTCTGTTGATGTGTATGAGGACAAGACACATGGTGTGAGATGCCAAGCTTCTGAAAGAAGGTGTTAAGGTTACGATACTCACCCCCCCCAGTCTGACTAAACCTGGATAATTTTGTGCTTAAGCAATCGTTCAACATGTGCTTGAAATTGCATAAAGACATGAAACACATCAGATTTACGCTTAATAAGATAAATCCAAGTAAAAAGACTGAAAGCATCGATGAAACTGACATAATAGTTGTGACCACTAACAGAAGTTTGGGCATAGCCCCACACGTCTGAAAACACAAGTTCAAGAGGAGCCGTGACAACACGACTTGATACAGAAAAAGGCAACTGATGACTCTTGCCTTGTTGGCAGGCATCACACACTAGAAACTCCTTATTACTCGACTCAAACAGAAAGATGATGACAATGAAGCATATGGCACACAATGGGAGTAGCGGGGTGGCCAAGGCGAGAGTGCCACTGCGATGATGACACCCGAACACCACTGAAAACTTGAGAGACTCATGGCACATCAAGCGCGTATAAGCCGTCGCGAGCTCGACCACTAAGAAAAAACGTCCCTCGTGTCCCGGTCCTTAAAAAAATGGAAAGGGTGAAACTCAACAAACACATTGTTGTCACGAGTTAATTTAGGAACCGAGAGTAAACTACGTGTGACTGAAGGAACACGAAGGACATCAAGCAGACACAAGGTTTTAGTGGTACGTGAAAGGAGAGATGCCTGACCAACATGTGAGATGGGCATACCTGATCCATTGGCCATGCGGACCTGATCGTGACCGGTGTAGGGCTGGCGAGTGGCCAGCTTGTCAAGCTGGCTCGTTAAATGGTCTGTAGCGCCAGTGTCCATGTACCAGGCATGATCCACCAAGTATGAAGGAGTGAACCCGGGATCCGGTGTAGCTAGAGCAGTTTGCTTCTCATTGCCCTTCCCATTGTTCCCAATGCCAAGAAAATCTCGTTTAAAGCGACGATGGTAGCGAGACGCCAAGTGCCCCTCAATGCCGCAGAGTTGGCACTCAACCCCACCACCACATGCATCCCAGTGGAGCCGCTTGCGGCCAGCCGTCAGAGGTGGAGCGGGCGGACGGGGCTGGTTGCCCGAGGTCGGCGACACTTTCTGCTTGGCACCGCGGGCGCCCCCGCGAAGAGTAGCGTTCGCAGAAGGACCCTCAGTGTAGACACCAACGAAGCGACGAGCAGCGAGCCTCTGTTCAGTGTTGAGGAGACGTGCATAGAGATCGTGAGGCGGCATCGGCGTGTCACGCCCATTGATGTTTTCAATGAGAGAATCATAGTCCTCATCAAGCCCATTGAGAATGAATGAAGTGAACTCCTCATCACAGAGAGGCTTCCCAATGGATGACAATGTATGAGCCAGGGTTTTGACCTTGTTGAAGAAGGCCGTGACGGAGAGCTCATTTTTCTTGACCTCACCCAACTGATTACGGATGGCAGAAGAACGAGCCAGCGACTGTGAGGATAAGCTGGAGTCGAGTGTGGCCCATGCGTCCCTCAACGCCGCGGCAAAGACCACCATGCCGGCCACGAAGGGAGTGAGCGAGGATTGAATGGCAGCCAGAATAGCCTGATCCTGAGCAATCCACCGACGATGAGCAGGGTTGGACACCATGATCGAGGGCACCGGAACCATGGCCGGAGGACACGGCAAAGTACCATCAACATACCCCTCAAGATAGTGACTACACATCAGTGGCAACACCTGAGCGCGCCACAGGAGATAGTTATCGGCAGAGAGTTTCACGGTCACCAGATGAGCGAAGTGAAACGGTCCTGGTTCAGCCACCGATGCGGAGAGTTGCGAGTCGTACGTCGGAGGAGCACTATATGGGATCAGCGCACCGGCATGGAGGCGCACGGTAGTGTTGGTGATGACCGTAAAGCGCCGTAGGAGATACACCGTAGGGCTGCAGGGGCGGCGTGACGTACGTCCCAGAAGCGGCGTAGGGCGCTCCATACGGCGCATCGTAGGGCACCGCGGAGGACAAAGCAGACAACACCAACGATGGCGCGACGTACGGCGCGGGATACGGCCCGCCGTAGGGCACCTGGACGGGGGCACCACGGGGGCCTGGAGCGGGCGGCGCATCGCGAGACTGAGGCCCGCCATAGGGCAGTTGCGCAGAGGCGCCGTAGAGCTGCGGCGCGAGAGACGCATCACGGGACAGCTGCGCGTTGGCGCCGTAGGTTGCTGCCAGGAACGCATCGCGGGGGCCTGATGCATGCACGCTGTAGGGCATCTGTGTAGAGGCGACGTAGGGCAGCTGTGTAGAGTTTGCCGCCAGAGAAGCATCACGCAAGATCGATGCATCATTGGCAAGCGATGGATGGATCGGGGGCGATCGGGGCGCTGGAGGACGCGAGCCCGATGCAGCCGGACGAGCCCAGGCGAGCGGGGTTGATGCCATGAACGGCGATTCCGTCGTCAGGGTTGACGGAGGCGGCACGGCCGCGGAGGCCGACGCGGCGGCGGCAGAGGAGGCGGAAGCACGGCGCAGATCGAACGCGTCGTCTGATACCATGTTAAACATATTAGGGTTTGGAACAATGCTCGATACCATTGGTGGGTACGACTGTCATATATTTATAAGAGGGAACCGTATAAATATAGGTTATGTTATAACACGTATATCTAATATATACTTAGTCTAACATTTCATGCCCGAACGAAGCACATTGAAGTTGACTATCATTTTGTGAGGGAACGTGTTGCTCAGAAGCTCCTTTAGATTAAGTTTGTTTCTTCTAAGGATCAGCTTGCTGATATTTTCATTAAACCCTTGCCCTTGCTTTCTTTTGAAGGATATCGTTGCAATCTTAACCTTCTGAGTGTTTCAGGACATCGTTAAGATTGAGGAAGGGTGTTAGACTAAGTATATATTAGATATACGTATTGTAACATAACCTGTATTTGTACGGTTCCCTCTTATAAATATATGACAGCCGTATCCATCAGGGGTATCGAGCATTGTTCCAAACCCTAATATGTTTAACAGTAGTTAAAATCAGAAATTTCAATGCATGCTTTCCAGATGGTCTCCCATATGCATGATTGTATAGAATCAACATGTCATGTCTGAAATTTATTTAGATTTCAAATGAAATCCAAAGTGTTTCAAACTGCCGTGGCATGTGTTTCGATAAAGGTACATACCCTGACCAAGCAATCGTGGAAGAAGAGGCGAACAAAGGCGGCGCCCATGGTGGGGTCGTTGCGGATCATGCCTTGGACAACGTTCCTCACCGTGTCCTCGGCTTTTGGGCACGACGAGTTGTAGAAACCGTGCTGCAGCCCGGCGGGCCCAGCGGCCATCGACACAGAGCTCAGCGCAGCGGCCATGAACGCCATGAGCACCACAACCTTGCTTGGTGCCGTCGCCATCGCCTTGTTCACGTACTATTTGCGTGTGTGTTTAAGGAAAGACACTTGCAGGGAGTGCTCGATGGTGACAATACTGTGGTTTCGACGAGTATTTATAGGTCACGAATAATCATGATAAGACGTGGACGAACACGTATACATGACCATATTAGCTAGTGTGTCCACTGGGTACAAAGAATATGTTCGAATGATTAGGAGGTTACCGTACCACACAGGTAGTTGAATTATTTGCAGCTATAGACGCGTTGACAATGCAACATGACATGGTACTTCTCCATGGAGGATTAGGAAAATCACAACTATACATTCTTTTTTGAAAGAACACAACTATACAGTTAATATGGATGATTAGTTTGTTACAGCATGTGGACTTTTTTTTTTTGGCGGGGACACCATGTTGACTCTTGCGGTTGAACTATGTTTATATGATACTCAAACGTGCTACAAAGCCTAGCTAGGTTGGCTGGAGAATAATCCTAGCTAGGTTGATGAGTTTGGGGATAATTCCAGCTTAGTTAATGACTTTGTTTACACCCCCACTGGCAGTTAGGGATAACACATTGCGTCTTCTCAGTGATTGAAGTCTGTCCCTCAGTTTGGCATGCAAAGGATAATCACCGACTTTCACTTCTTTTAAACCGGGGTCACGAAGACAATGAACTCCACATAAAATAGAGACACTCTCTATGGACATTCTCTCCCGATAATCAAGGCAGTGTTTGTTCGTTGACACGAACGTCAACTTGAATTAAAGGGTGGTTAGCAGAGCATATAAAAAAGGCACATCAACTCCTGCATTCAAGCCAGCAGCGCACTTACAAAATCAATTAAGGATCCTGAACAAAAACAATGAGTGAACCTGGTTCATCTCACATAGGAACGTTCGTGGAGACCAACGAACAAAAGCCAGCTTAATTTGGCGGTGGTGGTGGAGACCAACGAACGTTGGGGTTGAGGTTGAGTCGAGTAGATCCCAACGAATAAAGCAAAAACTAAATAATAAAAAGCAGGGGCGTCACGACCGGCGCATGGACCTAGGCCGCGTTCGGATTCCCTCTGCTCCGCGGTTCCGCGCCGGAGCGGAGCGGCAATCCAGGTATAATTTTCAGAGTTGACTAAAGGCCGCTCCGCGCGCTCCGCTCCGCGGAGGACTGCCGAACAGGCGCCTAACCCCGGTCTCGTGCGTTGAAGACTAGCGCGACTGGGGCCTTACCCACTGCGCTGCTTGTGTGCTTGAGTAATGTGAGTGTATTAGCGTATATAAGAATCAAATCTGGCGGCGTTTTTTGAAAGAAAAAAATGAATAGTCTTCTTCACTTATAGGTGGTATAGTGGGTAATTTAGGGCAACTTTGAGGGCAATTTTTATGACGGACGACTAGAAATAATAGCCCTTTTATTATTAGGGGTAGATTTGTTTTGTTGGAAAATAGTGGAACATTTTTATCAATGTATACGAGCACATACATAAATGTTGGTAATTTTTTTAAACCGTGACCAGATTTGTGAAAATACATGCTTTTTTGCATAGAGAACATTATCCAAATATTAAATTAGTACGTATATATGAGGTACATGGACATTTTCCCTTTTGGCAATATGGATTTTTCATTTTATAAATAATAGTTGCAATAAACAAATATATTAAATACATATTTCAGGACGGCGGTTTGGGACATCTAGGTGCTGAGGCTTCTTGCCTAGATGTGTTTAAATTTTGCATGCATACCTGCATTAGTACTTCCCTATTTGCTTGCATGACGTTACTGCTATGGAAGGTAATAGCTTTTGTCTAATTAATACCTGTCATTATTTGTCCCTTCTTGATAAAAAATTATAATTAATTATTTATCGTACATTTTGGTATGTATGGTAGATGCAAGATAATTAATTAAAAAAATAATACGCAACATTTTTAGCACGTACACCAACATGTACACATTTTTATCAGATATAACAGCAACACGTATATATTTTTATTGGGTATAATATCAATACATACATACTTTCATTAGGTATAATACCAACAAGTGCATATTTTTATTAGGTATAATACTCACTAATTGGTATCACGGTCTAATAAAATGTACATGTGCGCATCTCGGGTACATGCACCGCTTATTAAAATGTGTGAAATTTGTGGGTACATACAAATTAAATTCGCATCGAGTTATATATATTTATGTGAATATTTTCATTGGGTATAACAGTAACGCGTACATATTCATGTGTATATTAACATCAAGGTATGTATATTCATGTGTATATTCACATCGAGGTATGTATATATATGTGTATATTTCTATTGAATATAACACTAACACATACTTATTAAAATGTATGACATTTATGTGCATATTTTCATTGTGTATAAAACAACACATACATATTTTTGTTAGGTATAATACCCACTAACTGATATCATGGTCAAATAACATGTACACATGGTTATATCTTGGGTAAATGCACGTATATACAAATCCAAGTACGAGTGTTCAGATTGTTTTTTTGTAAAGAAATCATTCCATTTAGGAATACTAGTGCTTGCAAACGAAATATGAAAAGCTATTATTTTGTTCAATTTATGCCATGCACTAATGAATATGAATTACCATAACAGACCTAGGTGCCCAGGCACCTAGGTGTCCCAAACAATTTACCTATATATATATATACTAGAACAATGCCCGTGCGTTGCAAAGGATATAAATAATAACACGATTGTGTAAATAAATGTTCATCAAATTCTGACCATGAATTATCTTATATTTTGATAAGGAATTTGGTAAGTAAATTAAAATGGAGTTGGTTCAGAAGGTAAGTAAATTAACGGAATTCTGTAAATAAATATTCATCAAATTCTGACCATGAATTATCTTACATTTTGATGAGGAATTTGGTAAGTAAAAAATTAAAGTGCAATTGGTTCAGAAGGTAAGTAAATTAAGGTGATTGATTATCATATACATGAAAGGTTGGACGGAAGGGGTGGGAAGAAAAGTGAAATGGGAACCTTACGTTCTTTTTAAGTAGTATAAATGTTCATCAAATTCTGACCATGAATTATCTTATATTTTGATAAGGAATTTGGTAAGTAAATTAAAATGGAGTTGGTTCAGAAGGTAAGTAAATTAACGCAATTCTGTAAATAAATGTTCATCAAATTCTGACCATGAATTATCTTATATTTTGATGAGGAATTTGGTAAGTGAAAAATTAAAGTGCAATTGGTTCAGAAGATAAGTAAATTAAGGTGATTGATTATCATATACATGAAAGGTTGGACAAAAGGGGTGAGAAGAAAGGTGAAATAGGAACCTTACGTTCTTTTTAGGTAGTATAAGTAGAAAGTAGTAGAGAGTAGTAGAGATTATGAAGATTATTGAGCCATACTAGTATTTGTAAAACCAGCACTCACGCGCCCCGCGAATCTGTGCCGGCGCAATTAAAAGCGATCACTCACATGCCCCGCTTCACGCTTTCCCTCGCTCGGTCACTTTGGTTCGTTACGTACTTCGGTAGACAATTGACATCTAATCAATTGACCTTGTCTAAACAAAAAGCTAACCGGTTGACCAATAACTACTGACCTTTGACCGGTTGACTCTAAAAAATAATCACGGGTTCAAAAAAAGTTCATGAATTTAAAAAAATTCAAAAAAATTTTTATTGAATTTAAAAAAAATCGTGAGTTTAAATAAGAATCACGAATTTAAAAAAATCATGAATTTGGAAAAAGTTAAAACTGTAAAAAATAATTAAATTCTAAAAACTTCACAAATTTTAGAAAGAGTTCATGGGTTTGAAAAATTTAAGAATAAGAAGTTCACAAATTTGAAAAAATGTTGACGAACTTGAAAAAGATTTTTTTTATGAAAAAGAAAATAAAAAAGATAAAACGAAAAAGACCAAAACCTGCATAAAATGTAGAGAAACTGTTGAGTATATTGATTATTAGAAAAGACGCGATAAAATAAAATTTGTTCCTGCCTTGTCTTGTACTCCAAGTTAGTCATTGTACTCATATATATATGCGCATGAGGCTCAACCAATACATAATCGATTCCACCAATCTCTCTCTATCCCTTCTATCATGGTATCAGATTAACCGATCCAACCCTAGCCGTCGCTCGTAGCTTCCGCCCCGCGCGCCGCCCCTGTGGCGGTCGGCCTCCATGACCGCCGCCGGGGGCCGCATCGTCCGTACCTAGAGTTCGTCCGCATGCCATGTTGGCTAGCTGCCCTAGAGAGTTTTTTTCCCGAGCCCTTGCTCCGGGTTTTCTCTTTCCCGCCGGTCATCTTGATCAGCGTTTTCTTTTTCGTTTTTTGACCTAAGATTGGTTTGCGACGCCCGCGCCTCTACTCCGACATCGGCGTCGACTCTACACCGTCCACTTCATCATCAACCGCGCAGCCAGGCTGGACGCGCCGCCCAAGGGACGCCTTCGTGCATCGCTACCAGCCGCTCGTCCGTGCGGTCTCCATCGCCGGTCCGTCTTCGCCATCATTGCCCGGGACATCATCGACCACGTCTCCAACGTATCTATAATTTTTATTGTTCCATATTATTATAGTATCAATCTTGGATGTTTAATATACCTTTACAAGTAACTTTATATATTTTTTGGGACTAACCTACTAACTCAGTTCCAAGTGTCAGTTGCTGTTTTTTGCTTGTTTTTTACTTTGCAGAATATCAATACCAAACAAAATCCAAATGCCACAAAACTTTTTGGAGATTTTTTTCTTGCAATAAGAGACCCTGGAAGCTTCAGGAAGGAACGAGAAGACAGAGGAGTGGCCCACTAGGCACCAGGGCACGCCACAGTCCCCTTGCGTGCCCTGGTACCTAGTGGGGACCACAAGCCTCTGTTTGACCTAACTCCGCCTTTGTAAATACTCTAAAATCAGGAAACCTACCAGGGAGTCCACGAAATAATTTTTCCGCGCCGCAAGCCTTTGTTCTCGAGAGATCCCATCTGGAGGCCTTCTTCGGTACTC